ATATTATTTATTATAATCAATGTCAGGAAATTGCTAGTACATGATTAAAAAGCATGTACATATTTAAAGAAACAGACAGTCAACTTTCGTATGTAATGAAAAATGCATCGCAACTTGCACACACATACACATTTCATGCTCACACTGTTTATAATTTTGTAACAAAGCGTCTGATCTCGAATTTTAAATAACATTTTCTTTCTATCTGCAGATTTACGTTTTTTTCGTAAGTATATTAACCGTTTACTTTTGCGACACTGTATAATATGTACAAAATATGAAATTCAAAGAATAATCAATCTGAATATACAGAGTGTTTCAACATCGATGGTACAAGCGAGATTCTACGTGAAAAAGTAAGTCGAAAATAAAGAATCGAATTTTCTTGCAAGATGCTTCGTTTTGGAGGAAATCGAGTTTGAAAAAATTTATCTAGCATACTGGTTTGTTCACCGATTCCAAACATGATAGAAAAGAATAATTTATAATGTAACAAACGATACAAGCTTCTGTTTATATATTTTAAGTCGCAAAATATACATGGTTCGTGTTTCTAAAAATACATTGTTATAAATGTACAACATTTTAAAAATTATAAATTGGTCATTTTGACCATTTTGAAAAACATTTAATTAACAGGAAAACGTAGAATAAAATTTGTTCATTTTTTTTTCAAGAAAATAGACTCTGAACTATTTCGAAACTATTTTGTTAGAAATTGTCTTGGTACATGTGTACTTTCTTGACTTCAAACTAAATTTTGAAACTTGATTTTCTCGAGAACGAGAAGCATCTTACAAAATGTTTTATTCTACACGTTTTCACGTATAAATAATCTTCTAGGGTTAGAGTCAGAAATCGCCACGTTCAAGTAAATTTGACAAATTTTCAAATATATTTGATTTTCTCGGAAAATAAATTTTGTACGAAAAAATTTTATTCTTTCTTTTCGACTTACTTTTTCACAGAGAACAATTCCATCGATTTCGTGACATTTTGAACGAAAGATTTCCTGAAATAAAATTGAATCACAAATGATTAATAAAATCACTGTATAAGTCGTTCGATTTTTATTTTATCTTTCCCGATTGATTTCTTGTTTTAATGATAAAATGAACCTCTTGTTTGAAGCAACGGTAATAGAAACGAAATAGCCAAAATTGAGATGAGCAGCTAAACTAGAAATATTTTCCAATGATAGAAAAAAATAGAAGAAAAATAATTTCTATTCCGTTATATTACTACTCTTCTTATTTTGAATACGACTTCCTGATTATTAAGCCTTGCTCACTGTCAATAAAATAAATTATTGCGGTTAGCATAAACCGCACAGAAGTGATTCAAGTTACTATCATAACCAACACGATTCTCAGTGAATAATTTTCAAACCTTCTAAACCAAACCTAACCAAACGAAACGAAACCTAACCTACCTTTTAAATTAAACCAAAGCATATTTAAATATGATGTACATATGCTTTGAACGAACAAATTTTTAAACACACAAGTATATATTGAAAAATATATTTTTTCAAGATTTTTTAATATAAAAGGTTTTTAATATAATCTAATATAAAATTATATATTTTCAGATTTATAAATGGTTATTGCAAAATTAATATTTTTATGTTAAAATATATATATATATTTTTTTTCTAAATCAGTTGAATATTCAATTAATTTAATTATTTTATATATATATATTTATATTTATATATATATAATTTATTTACAATAAATTACTTTATTCATTTATTCATACAAAATTAAATGAGTAAAGTAATTTAAAATAAATAATTTATCTAATTGAAAATGTCATATGAAATATAATTCAAACATCATACTATATCATATTGCAATAAATATTATATTGTGATATAATTAATTCCAAGAATTTACTTTATTAACAAAAGTTGTTTATTATTATAGAAATAATAACTTTTCTGTGAAGAAAAGTATTTCAGAGGTTTCAAGATCTGCTCCACTGTTTTTAAATTTTAAATTCTCTAAAAGAAAGCATTAATTTACGTATGTCGAAAAACTGATTAGCTTTAGATATTTTAATTTTGTAAAATCTGTGCATGAAGAAAGACGAAGAAATTTTTGTCTTCATACTTACAAACAATTTTCATTATTCTGGGAGCTCTTCACTATTTCTTTCATATGACTAGGTAAAAATCTAAAGTGAAATCTGATGACCTTGGGGTCATTGCGTTGGCAAATTTGCTCAACAAAATTTGTCGTATTTTAAACTCAATTTTTTTGGAAACTAAACTATGAAAAATTTTTATTTTCTTGATTTATTTTTGCATGTGGAATTATTCTCTGACCGGTTGTGCCAACGATTTGCGAAACATCCTGTTCAACTACGATTATTTGATACCGTGAAAAATGCAACGTGGAATCATCAAAGTGAATTTTTACGAAAATTCACATTTTTGCAAATATAATTTAAAGAATAGAATTTTGGTGAAAAAACCGGCATGTACCAAATACCATTATGTAATGAATAGAAAGCACTATATTTTTGGTATGTTGAGCATTTTTTAATTTTTACGCTTTCAAATTGCCCACGAGTGCACGAGAATTCACAGTCTATTCACAAAAACACGGTTCATTGGAAAACAAGGTTGTACGTCAATATTTTTCATAGCCACTGCGTACAGTCAGTCATTAGAGTCTGTATGTGCCTGTCAAATTTCAAATTAATCCAGAAAAAGGAAGGATTTCGAATGTTTTATGGTTCTTGTGTATTATCTTAATTTAAATATAGCGACAATACTTCTCGCGCTTGTGTTCGGAAAAACATAGAAACAGAATCTGAGAAAAATGTGTACAGTAAATTGAATAAAACTTACTCTGATTATAATTATAATAATAAAGTTGTTAGGTTGTATAATGAATTTGTTACATTTTTCAAAATACTAAATATTAATAATTATGCAAATAAAATAATTATGCATAATTATTATATTATAATATTTATTATATAATTAATATTAAATATTAAATATAATATTAAAAGTATGTACTGGAGAATACATAATTCATCCACGTGGAGTAGAGAAACACACAGTATGGATAAATATTGTTTATAATTATATTCGTTAATCACAAATAACTTTTAATGTACAACATGAAATTGAGAATATAGTTGATGATATGAAGAGAACTATTTTTCATTACAGAAACGATTTAAGTTTATCGCGTTGCCAATAACAAAATACTAATCATTTCAGTATGCGAAAGATGTCCTTTACAGGTAATTATATACAACTCGAAGAATGTAGAGATACACAAATTATTTAGGCACAATTTTTTGATGAAAAGACGAAATCTCCAAAATTATTTAATTCTACGAAAATTTCTGAAAACTAATCAACAAAATGATACGCGTTAGTACGATCTGGATGCAAACCAACTTACTATACAACCAAATCAATTTTATACACTTGAATAGACTTTGTAATTCCTTGTTTCGATTTGTTTATATTTTTCAGTAAATAAATGTCAGAAGCATCGTCAAATAAATAATAATATATATTTCTAACATTTTCTTCAATAGTAATAATAATAACTTGAAATTTTTTGTAGATCGATTTCTTGCGACGAAAGTGGTACAACTTGACTTTCGAGTCTTCGCTACAAAAACGTGCAGAGACAATTCTACATCAATTTTTTTGAATAATCTCACTCATTGATTTTCATAATTTGAGTTAATTTACTTCAAGTTACATTGTTCTTTTTAATCAATTTGCACTCGTCAATAATTGATCGAATCTCGATTTAAATATTCACTATTCTCTATCAATATCAACTAACTACAATGAAATACCAGAATACAAATATTACATGAACAGTTTACAATCTAATCGGTATACTTTCGATTAAACAATTTGAAATATCTATGAAAATATCTTTTCCTTTTTAACAAAACCTTTAGTCAACAAAAGTGTTTAATCATTATTAGAGGGTCACTGTAACGTAATTGTTAGAATGCAATAACCAAAACTATTAAAAATATTATTACAAACAACGTTACCATTCAAATTATTAGAAGTAGTAACTAAACTGTTCCATGGATTGACAGTTTCAATATTGAAGGATATTTGCACTAGTCGTTTACACTAATTGACTCCACGTATTAATAAATATAACAAATAAAATATTTAATTGTTTTAAATTATTTAATCTTATTAAAATATTACACTAACAAATATAATATAATATAATACGATAAAGCATGGTTAATATATTATATCAATATTATATTAACAAATATAATATATAATGTAGTATAATAAAACATGATGAACATATTATATTAATATTATATTGGCAAATATAATATAATGTAGTATAATAAAATATGATGGATATATTATATTAATATTATATTGGTAAATACAATATAATGTAATATAGTAAAACATGATTAATATATTACATTAATATTATATTAACAAATATAAACATGATGAATATATTATATTAACATTATATTGACAAATGTAATATAATGTAATATAGTAAAACATGATTAATATATTACATTAATATTATATTGACAAATATAATATAACATAATATAGTAAAACACGATTAATACATTATATTAACATATATAATATAATGTAATATAATAAAACATGATTAATGAATTATATTAATATTATATTATCAAGTGTAATATACTGCAATATAGTAAAACACATGATTAATATATTACATTAATGTTATATCAACAAATATAACGTAATATAATATAGTAAAGCATGACTAATATATTATATTAATATTATATTAACAAATGTAATGTAATGAAACATGTTTTGCAAACATGTTGTTAATTAAGAAAATGATACTTTCTCAAAAGTTGCGTTACTTTTCGTCACCAGACTTTCACGACTGTGTTGTTTATTTAATACCCTGGAGTAACAAACAAACACTTTTCAATTCCACCAGAATCATCTCTGTGCGATCATTCACCACTAAACTCACCCAGAAACAACAGTGTGTCTGTCTGAAAGCACGTGAATCAGTCACTAAACATAAAGAAAAAAAAAAAAAAAAAAAAAAAAAAAAAAAAAAAAAAAAAAAAAAAAAAAAGAAAAAAAAAGAAAAGGAAAGACACGAACTACGTTGCACTTGAAACTGTTGCAAAAAAAAAGAGGGAAAGAAATTTGACGTCGTTGAGAAATTTCGAACAACGATCGAGGTACGTGGAACAGGCGAAGTTTTCCAAGCGAGCGATCAAGAGCGAGAGGAGGGTGCGTTTCCAGCGTATTTCACTCCGGCAAGGTCGAACGAGCGACTGGCTCGGTTTCACCACACGACCAGCCTCGCACGTACCGATGATAATTAATGACAAAAGTGTGGAAAGTGCGTAACCTGCCCCGTAAGATTCCACCGTTCTTCCCGCCGTCTTTTCACCGTCTGACGATGCCAGACACGTGTAGGTTGGGCGCAGAGTTGTACAGATAACGGGACACGTTCGGCAGAAGGACAACCCGCGTAACCTGCATTCCTCCCGAGCGGCGCCTGGCTCGATTTCGGGACCGATCAGGCCAACTTTAACTCGTTTTATCAACGTTGCCCGCCGAGGCCTAAGGGTACTTAATCTCCCAGCTTCCAGAAGAGAATTAACGGCAGAAGCGCGTCCAAGGAGAAAAACAGTCGGTTTACGTGACGTGGAAACTGACACGTTGACCGTTCGTACGGTGTAAGGTTTCAATAACTTGCTGCAAAACACAGAGACGATGTCCCGTAATATTATAAATGTAATTGTTTCACGATATAATAACAAATGTTAATAAATATTAGATATTTAAACGTCAAACAATAATATTATATAATATTTTTAGTGACTGTCATTTGTTTGACGTTTGAATAATTAATATTTAACAATAGTTATCATTATACAATATAATAACAAATATTAATAAATATTAGATATTTAAACGTCAAACAATAATATTATACAATATTTTTATTGACTGTCATTTGTTTGACGTTTGAATATTTAATATTTATCAATAGTTATCATTATACAATATAATAACAAATATTAATAAATATTAGATATTTAAACGTCAAACAATAATATTATACAATATTTTTATTGACTGTCATTTGTTTGACGTTTGAATATTTAATATTTATCAATATTTATTATTATACAATACAATAACAAGCATTAATAAATATTAAATAAATACAAATATTAATAAATATTAAATATTTACGTCAAACAATAATATTATACAATATTTTTATTGACTGTCATTTGTTTGACCTTTAAATATTTAATATTTATCAATATTTATTATTACACAATATAATAACAAGCATTAATAAATATTAAATAAATACAAATATTAACAAATATTAAATATTTACGTCAAACAATAATATTATACAATATTTTGGTGACTGTCATTTGTTTGACGTTTAAATATTTAATATTTATCAATATTTATCATTATACAATATAATAACAAATATTAATAAATATTAAATATTTAAACGTCAAACAATAATATTATACAATATTTTTATTGACTGTCATTTGTTTGACGTTTAAATATTTAATATTTATCAATATTTATTATTACACAATATAATAACAAACATTAATAAATATTAAATAAATACAAATATTAATAAATATTAAATATTTACGTCAAACAATAATATTATACAATATTTTGGTGACTGTCATTTGTTTGACGTTTAAATATTTAATATTTATCAATAGTTATCATTATACAATGTAATAACAAATATTAATAAATATTAAATATTTAAACGTCAAACAATAATATTATACAATATTTTTATTGACTGTCATTTGTTTGACGTTTAAATATTTAATATTTATCAATATTTATTATTATACAATATAATATGAAATAAATTAAAATTATATAATATAATATAATATAATATAAATATGATATTATATTTATCATTATACAATGTAATAACAAATATTAATAAATTTTAAATATTTATCAATATTTATTATTGTATAATATAATATAAAATAAATTAAAATTATATAATATAATATAAAGTAAATTAAAATTATATAATATGATATAAAATAAATTAAAATTATTAATTGACTGTCACTTGTTTGACGTTTAAATATTTAATATTTGTTATTACAATTATTTATCAATATTTATTATTACATAATATAATAGATATTAAATATTTAAACGTCAAACGAGTGACAGTCAATTAATTTTAATTTAGTTAATTTATTTATTTAATTTAGTATTTACTGAAAATTCTTTTGAAGATGGAGAGTTAGGTACTGGTTCTAATATTAACATTTGACGTTTCTTCAAATGTATAATTATCACACTACACGTTTAATATTTTTGTTCTAGGTCACATTTGGCCAGTAATTGTGTCCAATAAAAATTTAAAATTCCATAAAGATTCTCACTTATTAATTTCATACTTTTTTATTCAACCAACCAATTTTAATTATAAGAGGCGATTCTACACGAAAGAATGAATCGAAAAGAAAAAATAAAATCATTTTCGAAGAAATTAAGTATTGAAGATTTGTCTAAAAATATACCTAAATACTTAAATTTGGCTAATTACGTACTACATAGGGGCGAATAATCAACACGACAGGACATTGTACAAAAGTGAGTTAAAATGTGAAATAAAATTTTTTTATTCGAGGTGTCATTTAAAAAAAAAAATATGTCGGTTATGTTTCACCAGAAATTGACAAATATTTAATAAATTTTAATGTTATTGATATTATTTGATAAATAAATTGAATTTTCTCAGAAACAAAACGTTTTGTTTGTTGAGAGAATTGAAAAAAAAGGCTCTTAAACACTAAGTTAATTAATCGGGTATCTTTAGATTTGTGTCATTGATTGCCAGCTTTCTGTGTTTGAAATGTTAGATATGCAAATTGACTTGTCTACGAACTAACGCAAAAGTGTGTCAATGGCAATAATCGATTGTGACATTTACGCCTGAAATATTACATGTACATACGCAAATCAATTAATTACTGGTTCTTAGATTTGCGTGTCACTGGCAATAGTTGTGCAAATTAATTCATTGCTTCTGGATTCATTTATTTCTAGCAAGTATGTTAAATTTTAACATCTTCTCATTCCTTGCAGCAACTTAAAATGATGTTGTTCGATTCCCACCTGATTAGTAAAAAAAAATTTGAACATTGTTGAAAATGTTGCTCACATGTTCAATAATTAAAGATAGGGGTGGTTTTAAATTTAGAAAATTGGTCATACATTGTATTCAAGGATTATTTACTAGTTAGAATTTTAAACGATAAGTATGGAAAAAAAAAAAGATAGGAAATAGTAATACAGTTTATCGAAAGCATTGTGTTTGAAATTTTTTCGTGTTTGCACTATTTTTTTTTTAAAATAAAGGTGACCTCCATTCCAATTTTTTATACAGAACATATTTTTTAAATATTTTTTTGTATTATATATGATATCATATATCAAGAAAGTTAAAAACGAACGAATAATTTCAAACATTCAGTACCATTTTATTTATTAATATATAAGAGATGTATTTATAAAATGTTCAAACTTTTTCTATTGTTCTTGAATCTCAAAGATGGTTCATTACATTTTCATACGATATAAAAAAATGTGCAACATTCTATTTAAAAAATTGATCTGCATTTTTGAAGGAAAGTGATACAAATAGAAAAAAATTTCATAATTTTATAATCTTGCTTACAAAATGTGTTGTAACTTGTCGTTTAAGACTTATTGTTCAGGTTAATTTGACTATATTAATCTACCATGTACGGGACGAATTAGTTTTAAGGATAACTTTATGAATTGGTACTTGAAAATGTAGTTTGTGTAGGATGTTGAATAATTTTTGGAAACACTAGGTTTATTGTAAGTAATTAGTTTCAATTTCCAGATGTTTCTTCGTTGTTAACTTAGAATGTGACAAGTGTGTCAAATTTTCTGAGTAAATGTGTCAAATTATTTTTCGAGTCAAATTAATTTTGAAACACACGATTTGTAAAGTTAATAAATTTTTTCACAAAATAACAGAGAATTTCAAATTCGCCTCTGGTAATAACAAATATGTTTTGTATCATTAACAAAATGACAAATGACAAATGTATTCAATTTACATTTAAACTTTTATTTGGAAACTCCTATGGGACAGCAATTTAGAATGTTATAAACGTAAATTAAATATTCGATAAACGAACCTGCCACGTTACATGCATCGAGTACTTAATTTTGTGTCTTCTTCGATTAGTCATTTTGGAATTCCAAACGTGTTATGCTAATTCCTACGTTCCACCTGAATACGTTCACCCAAACCTGAATTTTATTTTCTTTGATGTTTCGTCATCACGAATGCTTGCACCAACTTTTCTTCTTTCATTCTTCATTTCAATTAATTGTAATTTCCACGATGATTTGCACTAATCATCGATTTGTGTATCTCATTGCTCAGCTCTAATTCAAACTAGAGAAAGAAAGTAAATTTCATTCCCTTTTGTTTTGCATTCTTTATATTTTCTACGTGTCATTGTTTTTTTATGTATCATTATTATTTTTGTTTCTTCTATTTTTATTCTTTATTCTTTCTTTTCCTTTTGTTCGTTTGTACATGATATACTAGAAAATTGAGTGGAACCTGGCAAACGGAAGTTTGTCATTGAAACAGCAGCAGTAAATTGTGTGCGATAGCAAATAGAGAACGCCAGAAAAAGAACTGGAAAAAGAGAAAAATGAACACCTGCGGGATGGAGGGGAGTGTGAAAGAAGTATATCGGCGGAATGCGTGTAAAAATTGCACGGCATCGTCGTGAGGAAGTTGTGTACTACTGACTCGTAGTACCGGGTTCCATTAGTCGAAATACATTTATTATTATTTCATTAAGATGCCTCTCGTCGTTTGAAGTCACTCGTCAGTTATCATTTCATCATTTCTGCCTGTTTACGTCTGTTTTCGTCGTGGAAAGAATAATTTTGGTAAAATGATAATATCCATCGATATCGTCGCGTATTTGTAATGTTTTATTATTTCTAATAAATCAATAAATAAATTGTGACAATTAACAATTTTCATCGTAATCTTTGTTGTTGCATGACAACTTTTATTATCGTTCGATTTGATAATTTGTCAGCTGAACAAATTAAATCGATACAATAGTAGAAGATTAATATATGAAAAAGTAGATTAGTTGAATTTAAAATGTTAAATTGCAGGTTAAATTTGAACACATTGCGAAAATAATGCGAAGAAAAAAATCAAAATTTCAAATGCAATTTTTACGTACGTCACTTTATCCATTCAATTTTTTTCTAATCTTGAATATACTATACA